TACTTGTTAGTAAATAGGTACAAAATCATTCTGTGAAAGTGATATTAATCTAGAAATTCTGATTAAGAACTGGGAAGGTTTGGAGACTTTAATGAGCTTGCCATAGGTCCATGGAATCTGGCAGAAGATGGAATATCCCTGGGTTAGCGACAAAGAATTAAAAAAAAAAGTTATTGGCCCTAACCGGTTTGGCTCAGTGTATACAGCACTGGCCCATACACTGAAGGGTTAGACTCCCATCAAGGACATATACGTTGGTTGCAGTATTCATCCGTGGCCCAGGTCAGGGCACGTGCAGGAGGCAACTGATCAATATGTCTCTCTCACATCAAGGTTTCTCTCTCCCCTACCCTTCTATTCTCTCTAAAAATCAATGGAAAAATATCCTCAGGTAAGGATTAAAAAAAATTATTGAATTTATTTGGGGGATGTTGGTTAATAAAATTATATAAGTTTCAGGTATAAAATAGTATAATAGATCATCTGTATATTGTATAGTGTGTTTACCACCTCTAGTCAAGAGACAAAGAACATCTTATCATGAATCAACATGCAGCATGTGTTCCATGTTTGCATCAGTTGGTCTTACCTCACAAGTCCTATAAGTATGATGGAAAGTGGCCAGACAGATGCTTCACACAAAGCTGGTTTGAGTCACATGTGAGGAAGCCAAAAGTGAGGAAACCCCAATCTTTTAAAGAAGATTTCTAGCAAATCTTCCCTACCTATGAACCTTTTTTATTTTCCTGAAAAGCACACAACCCTGGCTTCTGCCTTAAAGGGAGACACTATTTCTTATGAGGTTGTGAGCTATAATATCTTTGAAAAGATCGTCTGTTTATAAAAAATAAGTAAATAAACACACACACACACACACACACACACACACAAAATGTGGTAATGTCTCTGCTCCAAGGGTCATGGATGCTCACCAGGCCAAGGCCTCCTTGGAGAATGGCCTGGTAACAAAAACAAAACAAAACAAAACAATAAACCATAAAAATTATAAAAATGTTCCACATTATACTGATAAACATTTAGGATTATATATCTTGTTTATGAATTGAAAGTCTCAATTCTGTTGATGAATACTTTTTCCAAATTTATTCTAAATTTTAAAACTTCTAATTGAAATATTAAAGGATATAAATTTATTTGAATAAATTCTATAATTTAATTAGTAAAATTTACCAACAATAAAAAATTGAGTTAAAGGCTATATAAAGAATTTTGATATCTTGAATAGTGATGGTTTTAAAAATGTGTAATATAGGACACTGAAGAAAAAAATTAAAGAAGCATATAGTGTGTTCACGGATTAGAAGAATTAACATCATGAAAATATCCACACTACCCAAAACAATCTATAGATTCAATGCAATTCCTATTAAATACCAATGTTATATTTCAAAGATCTAGAAAATTATCCCCAAAATTTATATGGAACCAAAAAAGACCACGTATAGCTTCAGCAATCTTGAGAAAGAACAAAGTTGAAGGTATCACAACACCTACTATAAACCTATACTGTATACAAGGCCATTGTAATCAAAATACCCTGGTACTGGCCTTAGAAAAGACATATAAATCAATGGAACAGACGAGAGCCCAGCAAACAATCCATGCCTATATGATCAATTAATATTTGACAAAGGAAGCAAGAACCTATAACGGGATAAAGACAGTCTCTTCAATAAATAATGTTGGAAAAATTGGACAGGTACATGCAAAAGAAAAGAAAAGAAAGAAAAAGAAAAGAAAAGAAAAGGAAAGAAACTAGACCACCATACATAAGAATAAGCTCAAAATGGAGAAAAATTTTAAATGTAAGCCACAAAACCATACAAATCCTAGAAGAAAATGGGCAGTAAAGTCTCAGATATCTCTCATAACTATATTTTTGCCAATATGTTTCCTAGGCCAAGGAAAATAAAGAAAAATAAACAAATGGGACTATAACAAACTAAAAAAAGATTCTGCACAGCAAAAATAAATCAAAATGAAAAGGGAACTCACTGTATGGGAGAACATATTTACCAATGATACATCTGATAAAGGGTTAATCTCCAAAATATATAAAGAATTTACACAGCTGAATACTTGGAAGACAAACAATCCAATTAAAAGAATGGGCAACAGACCTGAATAGGCCCTTTTTCAAGAGGACATACAGATGGCCAAGAGACATATGAAAAAATGCTCAACGTCACTAATAATCAGAAAAATGCAAATTAAAACCACTATGTAATGGCACCTCACACCTGCCAGAATGGCTACCATTAATAAATCAATAAACAAGAAGTGCTGGCCAGGATGTGGAGAAAAGGGTCCTTAGTGCACTATTGGTGCAAATGCAGACTGGTACAGTTATTGTGGAAAATACTGTGAGAGTTTTCTCAAAATATAAATATGGAACTGCCATTTTTAAAAGCTTTGTATTTACTGTTGAAAGTATTACAGATGTCCCCTTTCTTTTTTTCCCATTGACCCCTTCCAACACACACCCACCCCTCCCATGGAATTATCATTTGACCCAGCAGCCCCGCTTCTGGGAATATATCCCAAGAAACTGAAGCACCAATTTGAAAGAATATATGCGCCCCTATGTTCATAGCAGTGTTATTTACAGTAGCCAACATCTGAAAATGGCCCAAATGCCCATCAGTAGATGAATGTGTGTATAGTATAAACTGTGGAACATTTACTACACAATGGTATACTATGTGGCTGTAAGAAAAAAAGAAGGAAATCTTACCTTTTGCACATCATGGATGGACCTGGAGAGTATTATGCTAAGTAAAATAAGCTAGTCAGAGGAAGACAAATACCATAGGGGCTTACTTATATGTGGACTCTCATGAAAAAATAACCCTGATGAACAAAATAAAACTAGAGGCATGGATACGTGGAACAATCTGACAGATATCAGAGGGGAGAAGTGAAGGGGACTGGATGAAAGAAGGTGAAGGGATTAGCCAAAGAACATATATGCATAGTCCATGGACATAGACAATGGTATGATGATGGCCAGAGGGAAGAGGATGGTGAGTTAATTTATTTTTTAAATTTTATTTTTCAATTACAGTTTATATTCAATATTATTTTGTATTAGTTTCAGATGTATAGCTAAATGGTTAGATAATCATATACTTTACAAAGTGTTTCCCCTGATATTTCCAGTCCCCATCTGGCACCACACAGTTATTACAATATTGTTGACTATATTCCATATGCTGCACTTTACATCTCCGTGACTATTCTGTAAACTACCAATTTGTATTTCTTAATCCCTTCACTATTTACCCAGTCCCTAATTACCCTCCCCTCTGGCAACCATCAGTCTATTCTCTGAGTTAATTTAAAAGTATACTCATATGATTGGCTTATAAATACCAGTGTCCCCCAAAATATATACACATTCTAACAGCTGATTCTGTTACATTTTGAAAATGAAATATATTTTAATAAACCCTGCCTTTATAATTATTCAAAATGTGTATAAATTTTTTGTAGACACCCTGTATATCTATCTATCTATCTATCTATCAATCAATCAATCAGTCAGTCATTTGGTTATCTATTATCTACATATAAATAGAGAGATCTTGAGTTTAAACCAAAAGAGAGGACAGCATTGTTAAATCTTGGAATAAGGATGCCTTTGTAATTCCATCCGCAGATTTCTATGTTTAAAGAAACAGACTTGAATTTAATACCTCTTTATGCCAAACAATAATTAACAAAATTAAAAAATTATAGTGTTAATTCCCTTAATGTTTCTTGTATTCTTATAAACCAAGTGGAAAAGGGCCATATGAAAGCATGGGTAGAAGGCAATCATCTACAAGTTGGGGAAATAGCTCTCAATAGAATTTTAAAAATTTTGGCACTTTTATCATGAACTATGAGAAAATCAGCCTGTTGTTTAAGCCATCAGTCTGTGATATTTTATTATGGCAGTTGTAGATATTTTAAATATATTTGATAAAATGTCATCTTCATCTTATTTTTTTAAAAATTAAAATAAAAGAGAGATGTTCACTAACCTGGATTAATAGTAACCAATAGTGTAAAGATTCAACAACTGGCAATTCAAAGAATCAATCTGCAGAGAGCCCAAACACATTCTTTAGAAATTTAGTAACATCCAGAAACTATGAGAAATTGATGGTGTTTCTATTGAAATCTCTGCCTCACTTTTTGACTCAGCCATATATTTTTCATGCTGATTTGTGAAATTAGTGACTGTATGATATCTTGTGAATTGAAACACTTTCTGAAGTTCTAACACTAATATTTTAAAAGGTCAATGCTTATTAAAAATGCAATTTAACTCCAACATTTCCTGTAACTTTGAATATTTGGACTTAGTGTATTCCTTACGAAAAAAAAAATCACTTGAAATCCCCCCAAAGAGAGCTTAGATAATGGCAATGTGTCAAATACTACTCTGTATAGTAATTATTTCCATCTATTGGTGGGGTGGAATGGTGGGTGGAGTAAAATTATCTAACTCAGATCTGTAAGTAGGTAATTTTAATAGGTATCCAGCCTTTTAAAAAATCTTGTATCTTGAGCAACCCATTACGTTAAGATGGGGAAAAGCCATATAAAGTTATGCAAAGGATTTAACAAGAGTCACATGGATTTCAGGGAAGATAAGATTGCAACTGATTTTTAACAGATAAATACTGAGATTCATTCTTTTGTTATATCAGTTAGTTAAAACTACATGAAAAATTGAAAGAAGTATTTTTTTAAGATGTTAAATCAATGGGTTATTTTTAAACTATCAGTAGTTATTTAGTTAGTAATAACGAGTGAGAGTAAATACCAATCTTAGACTGAATATTAGAGACTATTAAAACATAAGTAAAAGTGGATGCTTTTGTTTTTCCCCTTTAACTACTAGTGTTCTTGGCCTCTTTATGATGTCACCTCTCAACATCACTAATTTGAACTTACAGTGCTTAGGTCCTGGCAAATGATAGGTGGGGATAATGTCTGTACCAAGATTGTAAGTCCTCTTTTCAAATTTTATGTTTTAAAATAATTAAAATGCTCTAGTTAGCTTTACATTTATTCTCTTTTAGTGTAAAGAGATGTTTGTTACATTATTATCATGCCATTGATAAACAAGACACATTCTCAAGCAACATTATAGGTTGCTTTGATCTAAGACTTAACTAGTTCATTCACTTCAGTAAAATAGAGACATGGCTTTAGATAAATCTTTTTCAATGTGATTCTTACTTCATTTTTTGTCATTGTATTTTGGAACATAAGACTCCTTAGGGGTCATTTGGAAATTTATGGGAATTAAAATATATCACAGTGACTGGAAAGTGCTGCTGACCTGTAGAAAGCCTGGGTCAGTGGTCGACAAACTGCGGCTCACGAGCCACATGCGGCTCTTTGGCCCCTTGAGTGTGGCTCTTCCACAAAATACCATGTGCGGGCGCGCACGTACAGTGTGTTTGAAACTTCGTGGCCCATGCGCAGAAGTCAGTTTTCGGCCTGGGCGAGTCTATTTTGAAGAAGTACTGTTGATATTTGGCTCTGTTGACTAATTGGTTTGCTGACCACTGGCCTGGGTCATGGGTACCAAACCTTTGCTAATAAGTGGGGCAGCCCACAGAATACCATCTAAATGCAAATTGTATCTCCATTGAGAAATACTGAGTATACTAAAGTAGTTTGCAATAAAAGAAGATAATCCAGAATGGGAAGTTTGCTTGTAGTTATTTCCTGATGCGTAATTTATTTTGTGTTAAAATGAGATAGGGGTGCCCTAGCTGGTTTGGCTCAGTGGATAGAGCATCAGCCTGCAAACCAAAGGGTCTTGGGTTCGATTCCAGTCAAGGGCATGTACTTTGGTTGTAGGCTCCTTCCTGGCCTGGGGCTCTGGTCAGGGCTCCTGCAGGAGGCAACCAATTGATGTGTTTCTCTCACATTGATGTTTCTCTCTGTCTCTCCTTCTCTCTTCTATTTCTCTAAAAAATCAATGGAAAAATATCCCCGGGTGAGGATTAACAAAAACAAACAAACAAAAAATAAGTAAATAAAGATGATTAAATGTTTAAAAATAATAAAAAATAAATAAATAAATAAAATGAGATAGGGGAAGAAAACCTTTCAATTATGTCTCTTTTATTTTTTACTGTGAAGACATTAAACTAAGGCAATGGCATGAACTCTAAAATATAAAGAAAAGTTTTCTTTGGACAGTACTGTTAATGGAAAGATAAAACACAAATCTTAAAAAAATAAATACTAATAAACAAAACAGGCTTCCCCTTGGCACTGGTGCCTACTTCATTACAACATAAAGAACACACTTCAGTAAAAGGTTTGAGTGTACTTGTCATAATCACTTTAGAATTGTTGATTATTACACAGTAATCTATGTTAGGGTATATAACATGACAGAACTATTTGTAATTAGTTTAAAGTGTTCAAGCATAATAATATATTGATGACATTACTATTATCATGTTCATTGTATGGCTTTAAAAGAACTTCACCGCATGGCTAAACATTAGTTTTGGTTTTATGATGATTTCTTTATTTTATTTTTCTGGTGCGATCTCAAAACTTTTGCACTATTGTAGAAGAAAAGTGGTTAAACTCAATCAAATGGCCTGATTGTTAGCAAATGAAGTGCACACAAAACCCGTAATAAAAATTCATATTTCATTGGGTTCAATTAGTAACTTCCAATTCATTTAACAGAAAGGATGAAATGCAGAAAATAATTTTTGACTTTTTCTTTCCTCTGAATTCTAACAATGACAGGATCTTAAGTTTAGACTTAACATGTGTTATTGCCCTGTAGCTGCAGTTGATAAAGAAAATTCTCTTCTTTGAGCTCAGCTCCCCCCTCCCCTCTATTCCACTTTAATATCTTTATTTGTCAAAATCTAACAACCCCACTCAATGGCTTCACCCCTTATGGACTTAGCTTCTAACTCAGGTATGTCAGTCAACTCAATCCTTCCATTCCTAATATTAAATTGTAGGTCTAAGACTTATGAAGGACATGGGAAAGGTTTTCATAAATATTTGGGATCAGATGTGGAGAAAAACTTTTTAAATTTCCAATGTTAGCTTCCAGATCTCATATCCACTATACATTTTATCTTTTTCTCCATTGAACTGCGCTAATAATGACTTGCCTTACTATCTAGACCTAGGGACTCACCTTGATATAGAAGGTTTGTAAACCTTGGAGCTATTGACATTTTAGGCAGGATAATTCTTTATTGGTGTTGAGAACTGGGAGTGGGAGTTGCCCTGTATATTTTAAGATATTTAGCAGCATCCCTGGTCTCTACCAACTAGATGCCAGGATCAGCATGCAAGGGAGCATGAACACAAACCTACACATAATTATAACCAAAGATATCTCACCTTGTAAAACATCCCCTGGAGAAGGGCATTCAAACTAAATCCAGGTTGAGAAACACTGCACTAGAAAATGTTAGAAAATGAAAGGAAATTCCACCATATCATACAGTCATCTCTGAGCAAGATGATAGTAATGTGGCAACTGACCTTGGCCTTTATGTAGAGACCCCTTTAGCAAACACAAGAAGAGTACCTTAGGTCCCAGTCAGTCCGTGGAAAACTTCCTGCCAAGACCTTTACAACCTTAGTTGCCACACATTTGTTGCAGAATCTAAAAGTCCAAATCCTGCTGGCAAGATATCTTGGGATATTCAGATATATATTGTGAGCATTTCAAATGAAACTGCAGAAAATATCACATTAATGAAAGCCCTTGTCCTTTGAATTTATTACACACTTTTTAAAACTATACAGGGATATCCTCAAAGGCAAGAGTAAATATAGTTGTATGTCGTACTTAGATTGACATTTTTCAGACTAAAAACAAAAACAAAGGTGGTTAATTAAATGTTTACTCCTTAAAAAAACTGTTTTCATTAGTAAGTGATAAAGTTCCTCATGTCTCCTACTTTGGGATCTCAACTATTTACTTAGGAAAACCAAAATCTAGATTCCCGTCCTAAGTCATGAACACAGTACATTTGAGAAAGCTGACAATGAATATGTTCATTACTTACAAAAGCTCACAGATACTGAGACATCTTGAAATGATTGAATGTGTGGACCTGAAATGAAGGCAGACTTGTGGCTTATGCATGCCATTCCATTTTGTTTAAGATGAAACATTAGCTATTTGTTTCCTTATATATGTCCAGAGACCTTAATTCAAGAACTAGTTGTATTGACATAATTGCTGCATTTTTTTCTTCTTTTTTGGAGCAAGTAATTAAATTAGACCATCTTCAAAGTCATGAGGGCCTTATTTTTAAAGGGTGCAAATAAATATATATTTATATAAAAATGATTTCAAAATAAAAAGATACACTAAGAGTTATTTTTAATAACAAACTTCAAAAAATGAATCTAAATGCATTCTGGTTCTTGAAATTTTCTTGAATGTCCCAGGGAAGCAAGGGAGAGATGCTGCCACCAGAAGAACCAGACTTAAAGAAAAAAGTAGGAAAACGCTCTCTAGTTCAAAAAGATTGAATTGATTTAATTGCATATTGCATCTGTAAATTTACACTAAGGTATTTGAATAATTGTTATTTGGGCATCCTATAAGCACTTCTCATTAAAAATGAAAGCGATCTAAATTTATTGAATTGTCACTAACCCTATCTTAAGAAATATAAATTTTCCACCACACCATTAGGTTAAATTGTGCGTTTCCCATCAATCCACTCTGCCCTTCTCCCAAAGATAGCTGTTATGTTACCAGAAACAGTATTTCCTATTCTTAAAATCATAGAAATTAAATCATATAGTATATACTTTTATGTTCCTGATATTTTCTCTCAGTATAATGTTACTTTTGGATTCATCCATGTTGCCATGTTTGCATATATCAGTAATCCATTCCCTTAGATTGCTAGGAAGTATTTCATTTCATGAACATATCACACTTTATGCATTCTCCAACTGATGAATATTAGGGTTACTCTAGTTTTAGGTCATTATGAATAAAGCTGCTACCCATATTTTTTCCAATTCTTTTTGTAGACCTCATGGGTAAACTACTAATGGAAATACTAAATCATACATAGAACATGTGTAAGTTGAACTTTAAAAATATCAAATGGTATTGAAAAGTTGTTGTACCATTTTTATACCTACCACCAATGATGAATATGTCAGATGCTTACAGAGTTGCTGACAGTTGGTATAATTAATCTTTTATTTTACCTGCTCTAGTGAGTATAAAGGGGATCTTCTAATCAGAATATATTTGTCACTGAGGAAAAAAAAATTAGTTTTCCTATACAGGTCTTACATATATTTCAATAAACTTATCTCTAAATATCTTTAAGTTATTGCAAATTGTATTGTTTTCTTATATTTATATCTTGCCATTTCTCTAGTTATAGAGATGCAGTTTATATAATTAGTCCTTGTTTATAATAAGAAAAGTGTAATACGCTAATTAGACTGGACGAAGCTGGGGCTGCGAGGGAAGCCGGTGCGGGCAGCCGGGGAAAAAAGGCCTACTCTTGCACGAATTTCATGCATTGGGCCCCTAGTATCATATAATTTTACTGGAGGCCCGATGCACAAAATTCGTGCAAGGCAGGGGGGGTTCCCTCATCCCAGCCTGCACCCTCTCCAATCCGGGACCCCTTGAGGGATGTCCGACTGCCGGTTTAGGCCCGAGCCTAAACCGGCAGTCGGACATCCCTCTCACAATCCAGGACTGCTGGCTCCTAACCATCTCTGCCTGCCAGCCTGATCACCCCTAACTGCCTCTGCCTGCCGGCCTAATCACCCCTAACTTCCCCCGCTGCCAGCCTGGTCACCCCTCACTGCCCCCCCTGCCGGCCTGTCACCCCACACAGCCTGCTGTTCAGTCATTGCATGAGGGTATCCCTACCAATGTGCATATTCCTCTATTATTAGTATAGATAACATTGCCATAAGAGCTCTAAAAATAATATTTGTAGATGTGATTGTATAGTCTATTTACTCAATCATGTCTTTTGTAAATAAAAATAATTTTACTTCTTCATCTCCAATTCTGATGCTTTTATTACCTTATGAAACAAAATAGGGTCTGGATTACAATGTTGAATAGCAGTAAGCATCCTTGCCTTGTTTCTGATCTATAGAGGAAAAACAGTCAATATTCCACCATTCAATTTTATTTTAATAGTATTATATGAACACATTTCATCCATTTAAGTAAGATACCTGCTATTCCTAGTTTTCTTAGAGTTTTTGATTATGAATGGAAATGTTACTTTTTATTTCAAAAATTATTCTACATGTCTTGAGATAATCAAATAAATTCTTGTTTGTTAGAATGATTTTTTTTCAACCTTACATGTCAGACAGTAAACTTCTGCAATGGTTTTAAGCTTCATTTGCTCTAGGACTCACTTGATTGTCTTTTTGGCAGTCCAAGGGATCTGTAAAAGCTCTCCTCCAACACCATATTTCAAATGAATCAAATTTTCTTCTATTCAGCCTTCTTTACTGTATCCAATTTCTGTATATTTTCTATATATTTTTTGTTATTGATTTTTAATTCAAGTTCTTGGTGATCAAAGAATATGTCCTATATGTTATACAGGGAATTAATGGACAATGCCTATGTATATTTTAAAATATCAAATTTAACAATATTATTTCATAAACCTGAAATATTTCCTCTTTCAGAGAAGAGAAGTTCATAACCATGTTTGGACTTCAAAATTTCTTCAGCATTGTATAAGTATACATTGGTTAGATCCAAACCTAGAGATTCAGATATAGAGGGGCAAGTAGTTTTAATGCATGTCTTCAGATAAAAAAGAAACAAAACTAAAAAAGCAAACAAACAACCCCCCCGACCAGACCAGATAATTAGTCAACACATCCTAAATTGTATTCAATTATTTTATTCAACATTTTTAAAGAATGAGTTTTGAAATGCAAATAAATAATTTTTTTAACACTTTAAATGAGATAGGGGAAGGAAACTTTTCAATTATGTCTTTTTTTTTTTTTTGGACACATGCGTTTTAATTAGTATAGTATATACCTTAATTTTTAGAGGAGTGCCACATTAGTATATTTGAAATGTGACAGGTTTTATGCTGGGAGCTAGAGCTTTAATGTAGTTAAAAGTAAGCATGCGTGTGCATGTGTGTGTGGGTAAGACCATACCCACTCATAATCAACAATGACTCTATATCTATAGTATGATGGGAAGATGCAGAATAATATTTATCTGATAAATGAAAATATTTGCCTCCATTACAAATATATTAAAATTAGACTACAAATGTACTTTTTTAGACATATGCAATTATAGTACTATAATAAATCGAAACTTATAAATGTAAAATACTTTGCAACATAATTTTCTCAGATTTTTTTAGAGAACAGACGAAAAATCAAAATCCAGGTCAATACTGTGGTGCACACTGACTCACACACATGCACACACACACATTCACAGACACATAGACACTGAATGATCTTGATTTAGTTCAGTTCTGAAGATATTATGAGGAGCTGATTTTAGTTAAGCATAGTGTTTTCAAAGTGCTGCCTAAGTTAAAATTCAATTGCAAGGAATTTTGGAGCATGAGGTGAGAAAACGAATTCAATGATGGTTTCACAATTTAAAAAATGTCTGTATTTTATATATGAAAAGTTGATAGGTTTTTTTTCCCCTTATTCTTTATTCCTGTTGTTTTAGCTCTGTTGAAGTTAGTCCAAAAAAAAAATATTCTCATCTCTGTTTTTCTGGAATCAAATAATCTTACCTAATAATAGAGATCTGAGAATGCAAAGTATTTCTCTAGTTGGTGGAGGCAAGTGCTTAAGCATAATAATGACCATAAAATAGAGTGATTTTTCTATAAATTAACTGAAATCTTTCCCTCTTATTTTAATAGCCAAAAACTAAACTATGGGTCATATGATAATTACATCCCAGGTAAGAAAAAGTTCAATATATATATTTTTTAAAACATGTATGATTAATTTAGGCATAAGGAATTATCCTACATTCAAAGTAATAAAGCAATAGCTGTCATGGAATATTATTAAAAATTAACTTTTTATCCCCAAGCACCTTTTTCAAGGGCTCTGTGAATACCTTCTAAAGATATTTTGTCCTAAATCCAAAGTAGATTAAGCAAATATGTATAGCAATATGAAGGTGGATAGATTTACATATTAGAAATCATGTAATCAGATAATCTCACAATTAAAAGGCAGTGTAGAAAACTGAATAAACAAGTTTTCACTCATGTCAGAAATGTCTTCTACTACATTTTTGATAGATTTTATTAGGGTTAAAATTGACAAAAAATTCATTAATTGACAAAGCCAGTCAACCTTGTGTTGGAAGACTTCTTACATCAAGTGCTTTTTCCTCATATATTGATCTTAATTATGCCTTTCATTCTGCATATTTTCTCATTGATCCTGCTCCTGTCTTTAGGAGATTCACAGGACAAGTCTATTTTCACTTACACATAATATTGCTGCACATATTCAAATACAGTGAGGCTATCTCTCTCACTTATCTCGTTGGTAACCTTTAACTATTTCTATTATAGTTTGCAGGTGACTTTATCCTCCCAGTCACAATACTGCAGGTAGTCTTTATTTGTCAATTTCTTCATTAATATGCCCCCTATAACAATGCAGTTTTGGGGTATAATAAAATTTACTTTTGTAGCTTGGAAAACGATTACTAAGGAGATCTAAAGCAGTGATTTTCAACCATTTTCATCTCATTGCTTATATAATATATTGTTTGCTGATCTGACCAGAAAAAGGTTTAATTTTTATTCATTCACACCAAATGACGATTGTTATGTTGGCTGTTGTCATATTTTTATTTGGCAATCTAAGGAAAAAGAGGTCAGTGCCCCTGACTATATAGTCAGGTATTGCATGTTTTAAAAATTCTTGCAGCACACTATTGTGCCTGCTATGGCACACCAGTTGAAAATCGCTGATCTAAAGCATTAGCATTTAGATTCAATCATGTATTTCCTTAACATTTTATAACAGGTACTGCACTAATTACTTTGAAGGATACAGAAGTAGTTACCATATTTTCTGTTCTCAGTAGAATTGTGCTCTAGCTAAAAGAATATAAAGTCAAAATCTAGACTGTACTAGAAGACTAAAAGAAAGTAGTAAAATGGTTTATTTCCATTTATCTTACTGCAGTTTCACAATCGTTATTTTACATAGTTTTCCGTAAAAGTGGGAAAAATAGAAAATAAATTTTATTTTCTCATATTAATAGAGGATTTCAAACATTATCAAATAAATGAAGACATTATTTTAATTATTTGTTTCTTCATTTACATGAAATGTAATATCTTAATGTCATATTAGTTTTAATGAAATGCTATTTATTCTAAAGTTTATGTTTAATGCTTTCTTATTTTAGTCAGTGAATTAAGTAAAAAATCATGGAATCAGCAACACTTTTCCCTGGCATTTCCCAAACCACCGCGGCCAGGAAAAAAAGTGAGATCAAGACCTTCCCAACTACAAGACAAGGCAGCTTTAGTGAGTATTTAAAAAAGTATCACTAGTAATAACCTTGTGAAAGCATGTAGAGTAATATGTCTTACAGATCATCACTGGCTAATGAGATTTATGTGATGATGGAAATATTTTATATATTTACCTTCCTTTGTGGCTATTTAATACTTCAAATAGGCTAGGGCCGTGGTCGGCAAACTGTGGCTCACAAGCCACATGCAGCTCTTTGGCCCCTTGAGTGTGGCTCTTCCTAAGCCTTAGGAGTACCCTAATTAAGTTAATAACAATGTACCTACCTATATAGTTTAAGTTTAAAAAATTTGGCTCTCAAAAGAAATTTCAATCATTGTACTGTTGATATTTGGCTCTGTTGACTAATGAGTTTGCCGACCACTGGGGTAGGGTAACTAAGGAACTAAATTTTACATTTCAATTCAATTAAACTCACATGTGTCTTTTAGATGTCATTACACAATATAGTTAAATGTAATTCAAATTCTATTTGGAGACAGTGGATATATTTATTAGCATTTCACTGTACAAAAGTTCCCCCTTATTCCATATTAACCATTTGTTCAGTAAACCTACATTACAGAAAACAGGTATCCAAAATGACAGAAATCTGTATATCCTGCTACAATTAGGATGAACATTCAGAAAATACTACCCTGCTGGAAAGATTCCCTCAGAATCATTATACTATGATGACGTTTCAATGTTTCCTCATTTCCTGTAATATAGAATTCAGGATTCTGAATTTTGGAACATAAATATTTTATAAGGTTTCCAGAGTCATCATGGAATATAAAAATGTTGACAGAAAATTTTTACAAGATAAATATATCATCAATTCTTGTTTATTTTTGGAAATGTATCCAAGCTACAGTGATCCAGGTTTCTTCTGTGTTTGTTTTCTTTTCTTCCTTTATTCAATTTATTTTTCCAGTGTTTGTTAGCATTCCTTACATTTTTTTTGCAATTAAGCTTTTGCAAATATTTGATTACAAGTTGAAAACAAAATGCACCATTCTGAACAAATGAATGTGCACTGCATGGTACAGCTTTCATTGTTGCAGTTTCCTATCTGACGATACTCAATTTTTATCTTGCCATGCAGGAGGCATGTCAGGCTTTTACTGTTAAGCACAGTTAGCACTGTAAATTCTAGAGACCTTGAAGGTAACAATAGAGATCATGATCTGCCTGAAAACAAAACTATTAGGTATTAAAAAATATTTAGTTTCTGAGTTAGCCTCAAAATGGAGGCTAGGCAAGATATTTAAAAGATCTCAAAAACACAGAGTCAAAGAACAAACAAGCCCTCTCCTGCTTGTAAAGAGAGAGTCTAGTATGTCATTAGTGAGTGAAGGTCTGTGCCACTTTTAACTTACAACCTTGCAGGAGTTATAAAGATACTCTACATTGAAATTAGATCCAAAATGAGACATGACTACCCATTCAAAAAAGAATGACATTATAAACTCAGAATAAACTATAAAATCTACAATTTATCTGATACTCACTAAGATCTAAAATTTTTTCATGAGTGAAGTTAAATGTATTTGGTATCTGGTTATAAAGGCTGTGAAACTAATATAAGCTATTTATCATTATTCTAACCAATACTGCAGAAACCTGATGAAGACAAATTAAAGGGAGGTTCTCAAAGACCATTATGGATGCACCGTTCTTTAATGCTAATTTCAGAAAGACCATCTGTCTATTTAGCTGCCAGGCGACGGCCTCCAACTCGTGGCCCAGATGCAGCAGCAGCTAAAGACAAGAAGGACGCATTAGAGTCAGAAACTGAATCCGCAGTTTCACATGAGCCCAAAATAACTAGGAAAGATTCAAAAAAAGACAAGCATTTAGAAACAAAAACACCAGGTACCAAAAAAGAGAAAAAGTCAATAAAGATCATAGACTCAACTACAGAATCAGAAGCTGAAAAGGGAGACACAAAGAAAGATACAAAAAAAGATAAAGGCTCGAAGAAGGGCAGGGGGTCAGATGCAGAATCAGAAGAGGAAAAAGGAGAACTGAAGAAAGGTTCAAAAAAAGAAAAGAAAGTTTCAAAGAAGGACAAGGGGTCAGATGCAGAGTCAGAAGAGGTAAAAGGAGAACTGAAGAAAGGTTTAAAAAAAGAAAAGAAAGGTTCAAAGAAGGACAAGGGGTCAGATGCAGAGTCAGAAGAGGTAAAAGGTGAACTGAAGAAAGGTTCAAAAAAAGGAAAGAAAGGTTCAAAGAAGGACAAGGGGTCAGATGCAGAGTCAGAAGAGGTAAAAGGAGAACTGAAGAAAGGTTCAAAAAAAGGAAAGAAAGGTTCAAAGAAGGACAAGGGGTCAGATGCAGAGTCAGAAGAGGTAAAAGGAGAACTGAAGAAAGGTTCAAAAAAAGGGAAAACTACAAAGAAGGGCAAGGGGTCAGATGCAGAATCAGAAGAGGAAAAAGGAGAACTGAAGAAAGGTTCAAAAAAAGAAAAGAAAGGTTCACAGAAAGACAAGGAGTTAGTAGTTGAAGAACCAGGAGAGGAAAAAGAATTGCTGAAGAGAGGTTCCAAAAAAGATAGGGGTTCAAAGAAGCACAAGGAGCCAACTGAAGAACCTGGAGATGAAACAACAGATGCAAAGAGATCCAATGACAAAGAGGATGAATCAAAAGACAAAAAAGAAGGCAAGAAAGAAAGAAAGAAAACAGCCAAGAAAGAAAGCAAGAAAGAAAGAAAGAAAGAAGGCAAAGAAGGCAACGAAGGCGAGAAAGATGCCAAGGGAGAGACTGAGACAGAATCTGCTGATGCAAAAAAGGAGGGAAAGAAGGGCAAGTAGGCCCTGGATAATCATTCAAAAGCATATTTACTGAAACAGTTTAGTAATCTGAAACTGAATTTATGAAGAGGGAGCGGTTTGAATATTTAATCAAATACCTTTAAAATGGGGTGAAGAACAATACAAAGAAAGACTCAGAAAATCTTCATAAAGTGTAAAGATGTTAAGAAAAACTTAATAGATGATTCATTGAAGGATGCTTATGCTTATGCTGAATTTGGGGATATGAAGGCTTAAATGAAAGATACCTAGAAAGATTCGAATAACATACAAGTGAAGATGTAGAAGTTAATGATACTGTATGAATATGCAAAAGAAAAAAATCGATGAAGGCTTTGATACATTCAAGAATGAAGATATTGAACCCAAAGATTCAAACAGTTTGAAGTCATATCCACAGTTTCAATTAAGAATCATAGGGAACATAAGAGAAAGTCAAATTTCAGAGTGTCTACTTTCAAATAAATATAAATATAAATTAAAGGTAGCATTCCTCAAAAAAAAAAAAAAGAAAAAGAAAAAAAATTCTTTCTTGTGAAACTATATTACCGTCTCTGAAGTATAAATAGCCACAACCAGGTTTATGAATGTTGAATGTTCCACTTCCAAGCCAAGTAAACACATTTGGTAAGTTTATTTTATTTTATTTTAAGCAAACTGAAATTAAATAAAAGATCTAATTTATAGGTATAAAATGATACCATTTTTATAAATTCTGTAATCTGCTGGCTAGGTTTTGAACTAGAATTTTATCAAGGTTAGGCTTTCTCAGTATTAGAAAAATTTGGTGAAAACACCAATAAATGAAGATTTTAAAGTGCCCATGGGAAGGTTAAGAAAAGTAGAATTATTTTTCATGAGGGAGAAAACTGGCCAATGTTATATGATAACTTCAACAATTACTTATCATGAGGTGTTTTTCTTTTTAAATAGAAAATGGTGGCCAAATGATCTCCATTTAAAGAAGAAATGACATCATTATTGTACAAATTACCAATGTGAATAGATTTAAAGGAGGTATGTTAAATAAATTACTGATAAATTGCTAAATATGTATAGAAAACCAAATTAAGCAGAATAGAGTTTAATGGGGGAAATATCTACATATTATTTAGATGTTAACTTTATATCTTCATAACAATATTAAACTCTCTTGTGACCATAAGTCCTATTAACGTGAAGAAAAATAAAAAGCAACAACAAATGCAACCCCTTAGATAGAAAGGGACTCCTATCCCACATACTCTCCAAAGCTAGCTTTCGTGAGGTGTAATGGTTTTGCCTGCTCTTTAAGCCTCAGTCCCTGTCCCGCTGCATCATCTACCAAGAATTAATGACTACTGTATCTCATGGTTTTCCACAAGGCCCTACCTTGCTGATTGACAGAGTCAGCAGTCAGAGCTGTAAAAACAGAGTCAAATCCTGCCCCACTGTTCTTTACCTTTTCCAGGAAACTATTCATTCTCCATCTGCTTATAATACAATTCTATATTCAGATTTTCAACCTTCCATGGAAATGTTAGCACCTCCCTGAGGATTTAGGGAATCATTTGAAATCTCCTTTATCTCTCTCTCTCTAAAAAAAAGCCCTTAAGATTATTCTCTAACATGATATTCAAAAGTCATACTTCAGATTAAAGTGTAACTCAGTGAAAAAACAATTGAGTTTCTGCCTTTACCATTCTACTGAAATGCACTAGTCACCAAGAACTTCCATGTACCCAATTCCAATAGCATTGTCTTTTGATTATAGCCCCTCTTCTCTTTTCTCTGTATATATTTCTCTAAGTTATTCCATCCATTCCTTTCTCTTTATACACCATTCCTATGCTGTCGAATCCTGTTTTAAAGCCAGCACTGACTTATCCACTCAGCTCCAAATTCATATGTCCAAATGTGAAATTAAAGCAACTATCCGACTGTCTCCCAAGCCATCTCAAAATTAACCTGTCACAAAGAGACAATACCCCTCCATCAAAGCCTGGTTTCCCACAAGTTTTCACCAGCTCAGTAAATGAAACTAACATCAAACTTGTGACTCAATCCAAAATTGGTGGGCCATTCATAATTATTATTTTTTCTTCACTCTGCTTATCTTTTAGTAAGTCCTACTTGACTACCTCCGAAATATCTGAATTGTTATACTTCATTCCATTTCTACCACTTCCAAACTAGAAGTGCTATCGGCCATTATCTTAATTTGAAACACCAAAAGCAGCCTAAATGGAGGATACAGGTATATTTATGGCATAGATTGGAGGGAATGTTTCACAGGTATATATTTATTTCCAAACTCATCGAGTCATCAATTGTGTATGTTAAATATGTATAGCTTTTTTATGTAAAAAATACATACAAATATATACACACATATATACATACATATACAAATATACACACATGCATAAAAACATACACACCATACAAAAGAAATCTCCAAACTTTACAGTGGTTATACCATTTTGTATTACCACTAGCAATGGCTGAGGGTTCTTGTTGCGCTACACCCTCCCTAGAATTTGGTGGTGTCAGTGTTTTGGATATTGACCATTCTAATAGGAGTGTAATAGTATCTCATTGTTGTTTTGAATTGCATTTCCCTGATAACATAAAATGAGGAACATCTTTTCATATGCTTATTTCCCATCAGTGTATCTTCTTTGGTGAGTTTTCTGTTAATGTCTTTGGCTTGTTTTTTAATCAGATTATTTGTTTACTTATTGTTGAGTTTTAAGAGTTCTATGGATATAGTCCTTTATCAGAAATATTTTTGTAAATATTTTCTCCCAGTCTGTGGCTTGTCTTTATTCTCTAGATCAGTGGTTCTTAACCTTGGCTGCACATTAGAATCACCTGGGAATCTTTTTAAACTCCTGGTTTCTGGACCTCATCCTCCGGAAATTCTGTTTCTTTGTTACTAATGTTGTGGCCCCACCCCATAACAAAGAAACAGAATTTCTGGAGGATGAGGCCCAGAAATCAGGATTTTAAAAAGATTCCCAGGTGATTCTAATGTGTAGCCAAGGTTGAGAACCACTGCTCTAGATAGTCTTTCACAGATCAAACTTTACTGAAGTCGTTTTTGTTTTTGTTTTTAGTTTTAGGGCCAGATGGTTTATCTTGGAAAGACAGTGCAGTTGAAAAGGAAGGAAACAGGTACAAATTACTGGTTATAAAATAAGTCATGGGATTGTAACATTCAGCATAGGGAATATAGTCAGTGATACTGTAACTATGTATGGTGTCTGGTAGGTACTAGACTTATGTGTGATCACTTCATAAGGCATATCAATATCTAATTGCTATATTGTACAACTGAAACTAATGTTATATTGTATGTCAACTGTAATTTTAAAAATAAATATAAAGATCAGTTTTCTGTTTTGATTAGTTTGCATTTAACATTATTTTATATTAGTTTCAAGTGTCTAGCACAGCAGATAGACATACAGACTGTCCTAGCTACGCCGCTCCCAGGATGTAGAGTTTAAAAAGTGTTCCCTCCAATAATTCAAGTAACCACCTTGCACCATACATAGTTATTACAATATTGTTAACTATTTAGGGTAGAGCTGTTATTTTTTAAATTTTTTTTCTTTATTGATTAAGGTATTACATTTGTGTCCTTATCCCCCACTGCCCCACACCTCCCACTCATGCCCTCACCCCCCTGGTGTCTGTGTCCATTGGTTAGGCTTATATGCATGCATACAAGTCCTTTGGTTGATCTCTCCCGCTTACCCCCACCCTCCTCTATCTTCCCACTGAGGTTTGATGGTCTGTTCAATGCTTCTCTGTCTCTGTTTTTGTTCATCAGTTTATGTTGTTCATTATATTCCATAAATGAGTGATACCATGTGATATTTATCTTTCTCTGACTGGCTTATTTCACTTAGCATAATGCTCTCCTGTTACATCCATGCTGTTGTAAATGATAAGAATTCCTTCTTTTTTACTGCAGTGTAGTATTCCATTGTGTAGATGTACCACAGTTTTTTTAATCCACTCATCTACTGATGGGCAATTAGGCTGTTTCCAAATCTTAGCTATGGTAAATTGTGCTGCTATGAACATGGGGGTGCACATATGCTTTCTGATTGGTGTTTCTAATTTCTTGGGATATATTCCTAGAAGTGGGATCACTGGATCAAATGGGAGTTCCATTTTTAACTTTTTGAGGAAACTCCATACTGTTCTCCACAGTGGCTGCACCAGTCTGCATTCCCACCAGCAGTGCACAAGGGTTTCTTTTTCTCCACATCCTCACCAGCACTTGCCATTTGTTGATATGTTGATGATAGCCATTCTGACAGGTGTGAGATGGTACCGCATTGTCGTTTTGATTTGCATCTCTCAGAATATAGTGACTTGGAGCATGTTTTCATATGCCCCTTGGTCTTCCTTCTGTCTTCTTTTAAAAAGTATCTACTTAGGTCCATTGCCCATTGTTTGATTGGGTTGTTTATCTTCCTGTTAAGTTGTATGAGTTCCCTGTAAATGCTGGAGATTAAGCCTTTATCAGTGATAACATTGGCAAATATGTTCTCCCATGCAGTGGGCTTTTTTGTTGTTTTGTTGATGGTTTCTTTTGCTGTGCAAAAGCTTTTTATTTTGATGTAGTCCCATTTCTTTATTTTCTCTAGTTTCCACTGCCCTAGGAGCTATATTGGTGAAGAAATTGCTTCGGCATACATCTGAGATTTTGCTGCCTGTGGATTCCTCTAATGTTTTTATGGTTTCCCATCTTATGTTTAAGTCCTTTATCCATTTTGAGTTTATTTTTGTGTATGGTCTAAGTTGGTGGTCTAGTTTCATTTTTTTGCATGTATCTGTCCAATTTTCCCAACACCATTTATTGAAGGGACTGTCTTTGTCTTGTTTATCAGTTCTTTCTTACATGGATTTGCCTTAGGTGTTGTATCTAAAAAGTCATCACTCAAACCAAGGTCATTTAGACTTGCTACTATGTTTTCTTCTAGGAGTTTTATGACTGTGCATTT